CAAAATTATATTTTTTGTAAAAATTAGTCCTTTCTCCATATGAACTGTACACGTATACCTAACAACAAAATTATTTTCATTTACCTGTGGTTAATGTAATTGCAAATGGCTGATATTTTTGTTCAAGCATACTGTTTTTCTTAAATTGTTTAACATTTCACAGCGGTATAACATGTTACTTTAATTATTTTTCCCTTAGTTTATTTATTTTGTATTCACATTGTATCATAGATCTAATTTATTTGTTCAGTGTATGTTCACTGGTGTTAATATGTCTTTTGATTGAGTTAGGCCATTTCAATTGATATTTTATAGTGTGTCTTTTCTATGTTGTGATGTTACACTTTTGTTTCAGATAAGGATGAAGGTTTGGTACCATTAAAACATTTAAACCCGCTGCAATTGTTTGCACCTGTCCTAAGTCAGGAATCTGATGTTCAGTAGTTGTCGTTTGTTGATGTGGTTCAAAAGTGTTTCTCGTTTCTCGTTTTTTATATAGATTAGACCGTTGGTTTTCCCGTTTGAATGGTTTCACACTAGTAATTTTTGGAGCCCTTTATAGCTTGCTGTTCGGTGTGAGCCAAGGCTCCGTGTTGAAGACCGTACTTTGACCTATAATGGTTTACTTTTATAAATTTTGACTTGGATGGAGAGTTGTCTCATTGGCACTCATACCACATCTTCTTATATCTATGATGTTCTTGAAGTATAAATTCTAGGTACTAGCGTTGTTTGTCATCTTAATTACATGTTATAGTGCTCTTTTTATTTGTCTTTGTATATTTTCAACCTTTACTGTTTAGTCTTTTTTTGGTAATATCCTTTTGTTTTGGCTCGGTATTTATAAATCCCGCCATTGTGTTATTGTGCTATGGTAATTTGCTATATTCTTGTCTTCGTTTTTGCTTATGTGCTATGTCAATAGTTTCTATATGCATTTTGTTTTTCTTAGTTGTCATAGTTGTTTGTTTTTATTGTGATTAAGATTATAACATAATGTTGACTGTTGTACCCCAATATGTGACATTTTTACCTATTATGTCTGTTTGTTTTGCTCACACATTGTTGTCAATATAATGGAATTCTTTGCGACTGTCATACAAGTGAGCGGTTTAGCTAGCTATAATACCAGGTTTAATCCATCGTTTTCTACATAAGGAAATGCCTGTACCAGTCAGAAATATGGCAGTTGTTAATTTCTATTCGTTTGATGTGTTTGAGCTTTTAATTTTGTCTTTTGATAAAGGACATTCCGTTTTGAATCTTCTTTCTTGAATCTTTCTTTGAGTTCGGTAATTTTGTTATTTTACTTTTTACATTAAGTTTTTAGTTTGATCATTTCTATGTATCTGAACTAAGTAAGAATAAAATCATGTACAACTTACGAAATTTCTATTTTTTGTATATGTTTTGAGGACTTGATCTGTCGACCTATGCTTGTATGCAGTAACATGAAATAAAAATCCGCTGCTCAAGTGGAATACGGGTTTATTGAGAGTAATGTTTATCAATAATACTTCAGACTGTGATGATGTGTATCATTTAAAAGTATTCATATATTTTTTAAAATAATATCAAGTATCTAGCAAAATGATTCCACATTGGAAAAGAACAGCTGTGATACATGTGATATTGAGATTCAAATATTTTTGATGATGATGAATATCTGTTTACATGTTTTACGTCTTACGGTGACAAGAGGTTCCTTCTTACTTTCATCGCGGCCTTTTTACAAATAGCGATAGCAATTGTTGGAGTGAAAGTTACGGAAAATGTGCATCAAAATATGAAAAGAGCAATGCAAAAAAGTAATGTGGTCATAAAATTCATAAAATTTTCAGAGAAAACAAAACAACATACAACATATTTTCATAGGTTCACAAAAAGACTGTTGATGAACATTTAAATGTTGAGCAGTTAACCTAATTTATTTACAATTTGCAACCATCACACTTTCGGATTTGATATACCAATTTCGTTTTTTCTACATGTTTTAAAAGATTAAATTAATTCATATTAAAAAAGTAACATCTAAACTACATTAAACACTCTGTGCGTTTTATTAAAACGCCGATTTCATCGGAAACGATTTGAATCAAGTGTATTGATACATCAAACAATCGTACTCAAACTATGGAAACTACTCTCTCATGTAAAATTGACCTTGGTCTATGTCACTTCTATTTGTCCTAATTTATGACGAATTATGTATACATATATTAATAGATGATCATATAATATAAAAAAAAGAAGATGTGGTATGATTGCTTTGAGACAACTCTCAACAAGACACCAAATGACACAGATATTAACAACTATAGGTCACCGTACAGTCTTCAACAATGAGCAAAACCCATACCGCATAGTCAGCTAGAAAAGGCCCCGAAATAACAAATGTAAAACAATTCAAACGAGAAAACTAACGACCTAATTTATGTACAAAATAATGAGCGCAAAACAAATATGATACACAGAAACAAACGACAACCACTGAATTACAGGCTCCTAACTTGGGATAGGCACATACAGAATGTGGCGGGGTTAAACATGTTAGTGTGCGCCCCCCCCCCCCCCCTAACCAGGAACAGTATTGTAACAGTACAACATAAGGACACACTATAAAAATCAGTTGAAAAAGGCTTAACTCATCAGATTGAAAAAAATGAAATACATCTAACAAAAACACAGAGTGGACGTGGCATGGTACTTATACAACCCCACAACAAAAAGACAAAGTACAGATCTGAGAATACTCTCAGTTACTGACAGCTAGTTCAAAGCCAGTAAAAACTATTAAAAAAATCATGCATCTAAGACTATATTGTAGTTGACTTTTTTAAACACGAGAAATTCAACGGATATCTCAAGATACTTATGTCTATTTAAAGTGGTTTCTGAATGCTCGAACCGATTTTCATGTTTGCTTCCAAAGAGAACATTTGCACCACACTGAAAACCTAAATTAGTCAATTTGACCAATTTAATTGGTCATTTTGACTGTCCTCTAGATGACAATGCACTTTAATCATTTTGACTATGCTCTTAGTCGTTTGACTAGATGGTCAGTCACATTTGACTGAGTAGGGTGGTAATTATGACTATGTTAGGAAGTCAAAATGACTATATGTTATACTCGTTATGACGAATTGGATTGTTCAATTGACTATGCACATTTGTCAGTTTGACAATTGAATTCAGTCCATATGACTAATTGAAATGTTCGAAAGTGACCATGTTGGTTAGTCAACATGATTACTGTGAATAGTCACGACTGTTAGACTGTTATTTTAATTTGTGTTGTGTTTTTTGTTCTACCATTTTACTTTGTGTGTGTTTCTATCCGTTCTGTACTTTTGTGTTTCATTTCTTCTGTTATTCTACTTTATGTTGTTTCTCTTCCATAGGATTGAAAAATGCATCTGGAATATAATATCAAAAAAATACCACAGCAGCAATACTAACAATGACAACAGTATAGGACCACAAAGTGCTCAATGTTCAAAACCTTCCTATATCTTCAGTTTCCATGAGTTACCATTACTCAGTGACATATATCAAAAGTCTAAAAATCAAATAAAGAAAATGTATTTATTATAAACTCATTGTTACATACATTATGATATCCCAACTTTAATATATATTTTATACATTTTCAGTATGTCAGAATTCGAAGTGTTTATTTAAGATATTTTGTCGGTATCAACTCTGCATGTGTCTGTGTAATATTCTCTCTGGTCAAAAATCTCTCAGCTGTGCTCATACAAATAGCAATGTCTTCATTTGCTGAAAAATATAATTATATCATTTTAGAAGCTAAAATATAACAATAAACAAGTATATCAGTCATGTTAAAAGTTAAAAGAAAAAAAACAAATTTTAAAATCTTTGATCTAGTGATGTAGTCACTCATCTTTTACAATTATTTTGTAATGTAAGCACCGGGATCTTGACAGCCACCCATCCTATATCACAACATTGTAATGTAAGCACCGGGATCTTGACAGCCACCCATCTTATACCACAACATTGTAATGTAAGCACCGGGATCTTGACAGCCACCCATCTTATACCACAACATTGTAATGTAAGCACCGGGATCTTGACAGCCACCCATCTTATACCACAACAGTGTGATGTAAGCACCAGGATCTTGACAGCCACCCATCTTATAACACAACATTGTAATGTAAGCACCAGGATCTTGACAGACACCCATCCTTTATAACAGCATTGTAATGTAAGCACCAGGATCTTGACAGCCACCCATCTTATAACACAACATTGTATTGTAAGCACCAGGATCTTGACAGCCACCCATCCTATATCACAGCATTGTAATGTAAGCACCAGGATCTTGACAGCCACCCTGAGGATTTTTTTTTTAATTTATTGTTGTGAATATCGATTGCAGTGTTTATTTTTAACAGTTTTTGGTCAGAAGAAAAAAAGATATCGCTAAATACTCTTTTCAATCGACAATACGTTGAATGTGTATCAAAATTGATATCCCGTATACATATCTCCCCCTTTTTTATTGTCATTACGTCAACATGTGCCGATATTACATTCATTACACTTCTCTTTCTTAAATTTAATTTTTGTAAGTTAGAATTAAAACATATATACATGATACTTACGTTAAACAATTGGTTTAATTGACAAAATAACAGTTTCGTGCCTCCTGGTTTGTTTACATCTACACGATCTAGGGAACAAAGGGAACGCGAAAGAGTGCGCGTGAAAACCGATACACTACACCACGTGGTGCTGTGACCACTTACATAGTCAAATTGACCGCGCAGGTAGTCACGATGACTAGATAAGTAGTCATATATGCTGTTGACTACCTTTCGGCTAATATTTGACTAACTGAATAGTCATAGTGACTAATTTAAATTTTCAGTGCAGCTTTGTGCTAAGTTTCAACTTTCGTGGTTGTTTATTACAATGTGTTACAGAACGATTTGTGTTATTAAATAGTTTTTACATTTTTACCACAGGAACAAAAGTTATCAACATGACATGTCGAATTTGTTCATTTTTTTTACTTCTATCAACGATAGGTATGTATAATAACCAAGTGCATGTCTTCATTTGTTTTTTCTTTCAGAAATTTAATGTTTTAACAATTGTTTTAAACGAATTTCACTGTAAACTAATACGAAGAAAGGGAGATGTTGTATGATTGCCAATGAGACAACTATCACCAAAGTTCAAATGAAGTAGATGTAAGCAATTATAAGCAACCGTAAGGCCTCCAACCATGAGAAAAACCCATACCGTATAGTCGTTATAAAAGGCCCCGACATGACAACTATGAAACAATTCAATCAAGAAAACTACAAGAACTAACGACCCAATTTATAGCAAAACAATTTACGAAAAACAAATATAACAGACATGAACCAACGACAACCACTAAACTACAGGATCCTGACTTGGGGCAGACACATAAAGAAATAAGCTTACTTATTTATAAATGTCTTGTTTGAAGCATTCTTTTCTATATATTTTATGACAATATCTACTCTTCAGTCAATTTAAATTGTCCGTTTATAAACTTGGAAATTTCAAAGAAATAAGGTTTTAACTCTCTCTGGCAAAGTTCACCTTAGACGGATTTGGCTATTAGTTTTATGTCCGTTTTTTTTTTGTAATATAGCTCTACAACTAATATTGTTCTTATACATCCTTGTTTTTCAAAGATTCGGCTTTGAATGTTCTTGATGAAGGTAAATCCAGAAAAACTCTTCTGATGCATGAACTTTTTAGCTCACCTGACCTGAAAGGTCAAGTGAGCTTTTCTCATCACTTTGCGTCCGTCGTCCGTCGTCCTGCGTCCGTCGTCCGTCGTCCGTCGTCCGTAAACTTTTACAAAAATCTTCTCCTCTGAAACTACTGGGCCAAATTTGACCAAACTTGGCCACAATCATCATTGGGGTATCTAGTTTAAAAAATGTGTCCGATGACCCCGCCAACCTACCAAGATGGCCGCCATGGCTAAAAATAGAACATAGGGGTAAAATGTAGATTTTGGCTTATATCTCTGAAACCAAAGCATTAAGAGCAAATCTGACGGGATAAAATTGTTTATCAGATCAAGATCTATCTGCCCTGAAATTTTCAGATGAATCGGACAACCCGTTGTTGGGTTGCTGCCCCTGAATTGGTAATTTTAAGGAAATTTTGCCGTTTTTGGTTATTATCTTGAATATTATTATAGATAGAGATACACTGTAAACAGCAATAATGTTCAGCAAAGTATGATCTACAAATAAGTCAACTTGACCAAAATGGTCAGTTGACCCCTTAAGGAGTTATTGCTCTTTATAGTCAATTTTTAACCATTTTTCGTAAATTTTTGTAATCTTTTACAAAAATCTTCTCCTCTGAAACTACTAAGACAAATTTAACCAAAATTGTCCACAATCATCATTAGGGTATCTTGTTTAAAAAATGTGTCCGATGACCCTGCCCGCAAACCAAGATGGCCGACATGGCAAAAAAATAATACATAGGGTAAAATGCAGTTTTTGGCTCATATCTCTGAAACCAAAGCATTTAGAGCAAATCTGATGGTATAAAATTGTTCATTAGGTCAAGATCTATCTGCCCTGAAATTTTCAGACCAATCAGGCAACATGTTGTTGGGTTGCTGCCCCTGAATTGGTAATTTTAAGAAAATTTTGCAGCTTTTGGTTATTATCTTGAATATTATTATAGATAGAGATAAACTGTAAACAGCAATAATGTACAGCAAAGTTAGATCTACAAATAAGTCAACATGACCAAAATTGTCAATTGACCCCTTAAGGAGTTATTGCCCTTTATAGTCAATTTTTTACAATTTTCATAAATATTGTAAATTTTTGTAAATTTTTACAAAATATTTTCCACTGTAACTACTGGGCCAAGTTCATTATAGATAGAGATAATAGTAAGGAGCAAGAATGTTCAGTAAAGTAAGATCTACAAACACATCACCATCACCAAAACACAATTTTGTCATGAATCCATCTGTGTCCATTGTTTAATATGCACATAGACCAAGGTGAGCGACACAGGCTCTTTAGAGCCTCTAGTTTAAGTGTAGTTTTTATTTTTTATTAATCTATTTTGTATGTGTTTACAGGGGCACATCGTTTGTCATGCCAATTTGCAGACTATTCCGTTAGTTTAAGTTGTAACATTAGTGCAAGTATCAAGACAGTGTCTTTGATTGATAATCATGGAAATGATGTTGCAAGGTGTGCATTAAAGGGAAGTTCTGGCAATTGTTCTTCGAAAGATTTCGTAAAGTCAGTCATTAGAAACAATGTAGTGATATTTCATGTACACAGAAACCGGACGACTGACTTAAATGGGAACTGGTTTTGTTCACAGGAAAACATTATGTACAGGCCAGAAATCTTATCATCAAAAGGTAAGTCTGTCATAACTTAATTAAAAAAAGAACTGTTAAGTCAACATTGTTTATTCTAAGCACATATTAATGCATTGAATAAACGAAGATGTGCATTAAACGTCAATACGACAAATGTCCTACGATGGAAATACCTTAAGGCATATAGAGACTACACAGTTTTCAAAGAAAGTTTTTTAAAGGTACCAATACAAATGTCAAGGTCTTAACAACAAGAGTGAATAAAAGTTGCGAATACCTTAAAAGTATATTATCAAATAAAAAACATAAAGATGTTACATAATTAATACTAAGGGAAAGAACATGCATATTTCATTGTGTTATATTTTTTATATATCAACCCTCCCCCTTTGACATCCCGAACCGTGAACTGTTAATAAATACTTACAATCAAATCAGTACAAAATCAGTACATAAAAATCACTGAACTTTAAGATAACACTACAAAAAAAGTGCAATGGATGACAAAACCTCAAGCAAAAAATATACACCATGTGCACTATTACATATTGATACGCATCAAATTGTGCAAAATGCTCACTCCGTTAATTTGGTAAATAGAAACACTATCCGCTACTAAGACTGGAACTAAAGTTCAATGCAAAAGGTGATTATTATGTCAAATATAAATGAGGAGAGATTTGTATGAAAATAAAAAGAGTGGTATGACTGTCAATGAGCTCAAATTGTACTTCTATACGATAACACGTGTCTCCTACAAAAGTAGACGTCTACAGTTCAACACATGTTCACCAACAAAAGAAACGTGTTGCTGTAGTAAATTAATCTCCAAGCTACCCCATGTTTAGAAAATTTGTGAAAAAGACAATTAAAGACCTGCAGTCAACTCTTTAAATATTTAAGGAGAAAACAGTAAGGTTAGCTGATAAGGGTGTTCTACCGGGTTTACTCCGATTGTGACTTATGACACACATCTAATGACGATGACTTTCAATTAATCAAGTCGACAATTTAACTGAGAAACCACTTTTACAAAATCAAAACAAATTAACCGTTTTCGATAGATTTGCGTGATAAACATATGTACTTTTCTACAAAACATTATCGTTATTCTTGTTTTTCAGCAGATAAAACTGCCTCTACGATCGTTAATCTGGTTGGTAAAATCGTTCAAGAAGACGATACTCAAAGGCTGTTGTTGACTTGTTCTTCATGCAGAACACCTAATGAAAATCATGCGGAGTTTCTAATAAACGACAATTCAGTGGACAGTATAACTTATAACAATGCCACAGGAAAATGTACCTATTCGTATGGGGAGTGTTCTAGACGTGAATGCAACTGCAGTTCCTCTGGAAATGAGTTTTCACGCTTTTTTGTTTTGAAAAAACAGTTGAACACTAAAACATATTTTTCATGTGACATAAGATTTCATATTAAAGACGAAGAACAATTAGTAGTATTCTCTAAGGTGTCAACTTTGTCTTTTAATGGAACAGGTAATACAATATTTAATATTTGAAATTCTTTTGCGTACCAAATCTTACATTTGCAGCTTATTATTTTCTTTTCTTTTCTTTGCTTGTCTTATTTTTTTGCTATGTCTATGGTGTATTTTTAGAGAATAACTAGTACAATCATTTTAGACGAATATCACATAGTAGTCTGGCAATCCAATTTATATATTGGATCATTATTATATTTGTTAATCAATTGGACCAAATGTTACCTTTTTTTATATGCTGTATTTATATTAAGTTTGAATTCGAATGATGGTTCATTTAGCCAAAAGCTGAAATATCATTAGTGGCCATTTAGAGCTTTATTAATATACCCTCTCTCCGTCCGTACGTTCGTCCGTTCATCACTTGGTGATAATTAAAGTGCCTCTTGACCAAGTCCGTGACATTATTACTCAATGTCAAGGACATAAGATATAGGTCAAATTTGGTATTGATATTTACTGCTCAAAATGTATGCCCTGATGACCTCAAGATCAGGTACCTTGCGAATCAATCATACACATTTCCATCTCCCTGATGACTGCTAGAAGTCACTTGCAGTTATATTATATTTAGTGTCAAATATTTGAATCGTACCAAAACTTAGAACGATAACGTATATAACAGATAATCGATTTGGTAGGTTTTGTTGGTACTGTTGGTGAAAGGGAACAACTGAATACGAAAAACGTGCTTGTCACTCTCTGAGCGCTGGCCAATCAATGCAATACAAATGTTTGCATTACGATTGGACGTGACTGTATTAAACAGCCAAATCGACACCCTTCCCGACGTAGGTCTTCCTACAAAACTGGAACAGTTCAAGGAACTATAACTCTATACCCTTGTGATCTTTTCTTTTTTCATACATTTTCATACAATGGTGATTGTCACTTTTCCTTAATAATCAGCAGCGTCGCCAATTCTCATTTTCAACACGGTCTTCTTTTTTGTTTGTTATTTAACTAGTTCTGAATAGTTCAAATATAAAAGCAAACTTTATACAATGTTAAAATAACTAGAGATTTAGTATTTGGAATAACTGATATAAGTGTTTAATCGAATCAACAACCATTTGAAGACACTTACGTATACCTACAAACCCAAAACTAAGAGGTACGTATAAAACTGAGAAGATTTGGTATAATTGCCAATTAGACAACTCTTCACCAGAAACCAAATGACATAGAAGATAACAACTATAGGTCACAGTACAAGTTTCAACAATGAGCAAAACACATATACGAAATAGTCAGCTATAAAAGGCCCCGAAATGACAAATGTTAAACAATTCAAACGAGAAAACTAATGGCCTGATTTATGTACAAAACTATGAATGAAAAACAAATATAATATATAGCAACAAACAACAACCACTGAATTACAGGCTCCTGACTTTGAGCAGGCACATACAGAATGTGGCGGGGTTAAACTAGTTTGTTGGCGGCAAACCTTCCCCTAACTGGACATTGGTGTAATACGGTGGCTTTTATGTTGTTTACACACATACACACGGAATAAAGTAAAAAAAAAGATGATATGAGCAAATTTTCTATTAAGATCAATATTACATCAAAGCTGATTGATTGTGTACCAAATTATTAGAATGAAAATAACGCAATGAGTTTTCTGTCGTTGGCATCCAGGTCGACAGATGAAAAGTCATTCACTACATCTTCCATGTTGATACACTGACATCTCATTTTCACGTAATAGGCGCAGTATAGTGTACATGTTTCCGAAAAGTCGGGTTGAATTTGACATCGAGAAAAACGGAACTGGGGTCCGTTAACGATGAGAACATTTCTAAAATGTTGCTGGTATGTCTCTGGTGCTCCTCCTAGGGAATCAAAAAACTCGGGCGGTCCCGATATAGGAAAATAAAAGGCCACCCAATGAGTTCCCTCCTGGTTACAGTTGTCCGTGTTGACCACGTAGGTTTAGGTCTGTCACTCACATAGGCTGGTAAGTCGTCTGCACAGCAAACGGTGGCCGACGTTCCTCTCAAAATTCCCTCTAGTGCCTCGCCAGACATTGGTAGGCGAATCGATTTCATTCGACAATTATGGTTCTCTAAACCCCGATAGTGTGCAAAGACCAGTCCGCAATCTCGATAAGCTATTAGATCATTTCTGTCATCCTTTATATCTGACGCTGTACTTTCAGTGTCGGAACTATCGTCGCCGTCCATTTCTTCAAGGTGTCGACTCCATTGCCCGTCTGCAATACATCAGTTCGCATTCTTGACGATTCTGAACTATCGTGGCCCTTCATTTCTTCAGAGATGTCGACTCTATTGCCCGTCTGCAAGACATCAGTTCGAAGTCTTGACGATTCTGCTGTTCCGGGTTTCAGATACAAAAATTCTTGCGCCTCTTTCAGGGGAAGGCCCTGCTGCTGATGCTGCTGCTGCGACTGCTGCTGCTGCTGCTTAGGCTGCTGCTGCGACTGCTGCTGCTGCTTAGGCTGATGCTGCTGCCACCCAGAAAATTCGTATACCTCTTCCGGAGGAAGGAACTGCTGCTGCTGCTGCTGCAGCTGCTGCGTATGTTTGTTTTTCATAGGTCTTCGAAGATCATGTGGCCAAGCATACACGCTTCGACATAAGTTGCACTGAAACATGTTCACCTTTTCTGCATGTGAATACAATCTCCTCTTATAGGTTTCTTGCGAAAATGCAGCAAGAAAAACAGGTGGTCATCCTTCGAGCGACATACTTTGAGATTAGTATCTCTCAAGACGAATTCGATTCGGTGCAATTCGTTTCCGGTGACTTTGAGGTAAATCGGTTTTTCCTATACGATATCCGCGATATCTTAGTTCAAAACCCCTGCCGATTGAAGTATCGACAGAGACATTTCCCGGGCGTACGTGTCGATCACATAGTCCGAGCAAAAGGAGACCGATCTCGTTGGTATTGGAAATTTTGGAACGAACGATAACTCTAGCAGTGCACATTCCCATTCTCCGTCTAATGTGTAGCTTTTATGAAGTTGAATCGTGAATGCGCCACCGTTGTTATTTTCAAAAAAGGAAAGAGGATCCTCGCTCGATACGTACAGGTAAATTCATCCATCGTTTAGTAACAAGCGTTGCTTCAGGCATTCTTATAGACGCTAAAAAAGGTGATCAGTTTCAAGCAGTGATTTTTTGTCGATCCATTTTCTTTATTGAGAATTTTTATTTTATTTTTTTTTTTGAATTTTTAATTTAATTTTGATTTTTTTTTTCGATTTTTGAATGTTTGAATTTTTGTGATTTAATTTTAAATTTTAATTTTTGAATTTTGAATTTAAATTTAAATTTTTTTAATTTTTTTATTTTATTTTCTAAATTCAAAAATTTTTAAATTTTTGAATTTTCCAAATAGGGAGACATACTCTTGTTTAATGAACGTACCTATAATGTCGACACGTCCTGAAGTGGCGCGCGTGCATTCGGTATGACTCATCGTATTGGCATGGTTCTACGTGAGTCATACTGTTATATTCAAATATGGTGAACATGCATCCGTCGTGATTCGTCTTCCTTACTTCCGGTGACGTCATTAGGGCCATATATAATATTTGGGGCAGGTCATGCTTTTTGTGGGGGGGGGGGGGCAAAACTGAACCGACAATACTACTCAATACACTAAATCCATTGATGTTGGATGTGTACTGATTGATATTTTAGTCTACAATACATGATTTTTTTATTATTATTAGTTATTGGCTTTGAACTACCTGTCAGTAACTGCGAGTACTCTCAGATCTGTAATTGTTGTATTTTTAGTTGTTAGGAATGAGGGATGGATAAATACCCTGCCACGTCCAGTCTGTGTTTTTGTTTGATGTTTTTTCTGCTTTGTGTCGATCTGATGTGTTAAGCATTTTTTAACTGATTTTTATAGTTTGTTCTTATGATGTGCTGTTATACCACTGTCCAAGGTTAGGGAGAGGGTTGACCGCTCACAAACATGCTTCACACCGCCACATTCTTTATGTGCGTGTCCCAAGTCAGATGTCTGTAGTTCAGTAGTTGTCCTTGGTTCATGCTGTCATAATTATTTTTCGAAAATTGTTTTGTTATAAAACAAGCCGTTAGTTTGAATTGTATCATATTTTTCTTGTTGGAGCCTTGTATAAAAGACTATATGGTATGGGTTTTTCTCATTGTTGAAGGCCGTACGGTTGCCTTTAATTGCTTACATCCACTTTATGTGAACTTTGGTGGATAGTTGTCTCATTGGCAATCATACCACATCTCCTTAATTTCATAACTTGATAAGTTAACAGACATAGACGAAAAACTGTGATATCCTGTTATAAAGCAAATAGTGAAATCAAAACATGTTTTGCTCAATGTTTCTTTACTTTATATTTCATAGATTTTACAGACAGAGGTACCCGGACAGTTATCATCAAATTAACTGATATCAACAACCGACCAAAAGACAAAGACAGTAATACAGGTAATTATTGAAAACGCATTAAATTTGCTTAAATTTTTCAGCTCCATTTTTTTATTTAGATTACTGATTGTTATGCGTTACTTGTCATAAAAGATACAGGCTTATAGAGAAAGCACGCCATTGAGAGAACAATGCCGTTAACTATGGACGTTTCTCCAAATTGTGTATGGGAACATACACGTTTATACCTATCCTGAATTTAAGTTCTGGATGCTAGCTTCAAATATGATTTTTTTGTAATTTAAAGCTTTTAGCTATAGCTCAAGAACTAATCATGGGCGTCAACGTGCAGATTGGACAAACTATATTTTACGACATATTTTTTTTTTATTTATTAAATAACATTTAATTTCAGTTTCTTCACTTTTCATTCTATGGGTGTATTATGATATTATTACGTGATTATTTCTATATTGGTCTTGTTATTGGTCCGAGGCTTGCTGTATTGACCTGAGGCGAAGCCGAAGGCCAATACAGGTGGACGAGGACCAATAACAAGGCCAATACAGAAATAATGACGTAATGAAATCTTTATTAATTAACTACAGTATTTACCTGTTGTTTTTTTTTTGTGTTTTATTTCCTTTCACAACAATTCAGCATGTTTTATTTTGAAATTAAACTATCCACATCTAAGTTACTCAGTTTCCTTCAATAAGCTGCAATTTCAAATGATCTGGTGCTGTTTGGAAGTGTCTTTTATATTTTATGATGATTTGTTAACCCTTTTCAGTCACTATAAAGTGTTAAAATACATATTTAGACGCAACACATAAATACTAATTGGAAAGGTACTGTCATTGCATGAGAGATTCAGAATCAAAAGGGTTTAATAAAACTAGGAGTTGAATATGATTGCCAATGAGACAACTATCCATAGACCATGACAAAAGGCAAAAAACAAAGACTTTAAGTTAAACAATAGATTACAGGTCATTCTTCAACAATTCATAGGCCTGATTCGGGCTGAAAAATATATGATACCTAACAAAAACATGAGAAGCGAAAGTAAACAGTATATCGAAATGCGCCCATTAAACTGATAAAATCATGTTTGAAATAGTTATTAGGTCGACAAGAAATGAGCTTTGTGATAATCTACAGACTCGTTGCCCAAACTTGAAGTAGTGCGATTGTCTGCTAACAAAATGCTTTTTTAAATGAATGTGACCGTCTTCAGCCTGAAATATATGTCACTCTGAACGTTTCGGCATGTTTATGGTGTGTAAATAAAACAGCGTCTTCCAAACGACAGTTTACATTGACTCCCTGATATCTCGGCCCATATAAACAAACTTGGACTATAACAAACTCGGCTTATAACACAATAGACCTCAATAAATCGGCCTCACAAAATCGGACTATAGCAAACTCGGACTATAACAAACTCGGACTACTACAAGAATATAAGTATGATAATGGATGTTATTTTTTTTATTTGAAATTAATTAGCAGTACTTTATTTTAAATTAATTATGAGTCAAAATAATTGAATGATTTATTTTTGAACACTTTACAAGCAAGAAATGTAAGTTACGTTAACTAGATATAAAAAGAAAAGTAAGACTAATTTCAGTTGACAATGAAAAGTAACCACTTATTTGGCTTTTCTTTTCTTTTCTCTTATTTTTATATCCTTTTTATTATATGCTTGACTCATTTAGTTGAACTGGGAATATGACATATATCATACTGCCACGTGTATTGGTGACACCTTTTTAATCACCTTAATTTTTAAACTAATAACTGGCACGTGTACTGTTGACTACCTGTAATTACATGAAATAGTAATTAACCAAACACCTAGTGACTTCACAGTACATAGAATCAAATTAGTAGCAAATAGTAATAAATGTGAAAACTTGGCAACTTGTATTAATACACTGTTACATGATCTTGGTATGAATGATTATTGGGACAATTAATGGGTACTTTGTTTGGATAGTTCATTTTACAATTAACCAAACAACGGTTATAAAAGCTAAGCAAGAGCTACATTTTATGCTTGAAACATTACCAAAGTGTAGAATATATAAATATATTGTGTCAAATGTAGATCTATATATAATTACAATTTTATTTACGAAAATGTATTCCTCTATATATAAATGCCTCTTAAATGGATAACAAAAATTTGTCTGTCCTCACACAATTTATGTATTGAAACTGGATGTTTTTATGGAATTAGTAGATAAAATAGAATGTGTGTATTATGTGTGATCTAAATGTAATAGAGGATGAATTTCATTTTATTTTACAATGTCAAAATTATACTGATATACGTAAGAAGTTTATCAAGAAATATTAATGGTCTAGATCGTCAACTTATAAGTTAGTACAATTACGTATACTTTCTGTTGAAAACATCATTTATATGTTAGTTATACGTTTCAAGCCATTCACTGCCAATCTAATTTCTCTTTGCTTGTATACCAATTATGAACACTTAAGATTAAACACAGTACAAACATACACACAAGCCAATCATTTAAACACCATTTACCAATAAATAAAACATACTATCAAGATAAAAGTACAAACGAGAAATACATAACAACATTCCAAATAGAAGTTTTTTATACTCATTTTAAAGTATTAAATTCAAACATATTTTTCAATTAAACTGTACTTGTTATAAACACATATTTTATCTTAAGTTTATTTAAATTCATTTCTATATTTTTTTTCAAAAATATTTATCATTATCTAATAAATTCGTACATAAAGTTGTTATAAATTATGTAAAATTATGTAAAAAAGTAGAAAAAAAACCAGTAACATCACAATCTACAAATCATAGGCCGATTTTGTTACCTTTATTTCTTTATATAAATAATGGTAGACCGTGTTTGTTATAGGCCGAGTTTATGATAGTCCGAGAGTATCTGTTACGCTCCGCATGCTATGTGTGATAGAGAAATGCATCATGAATTTAATTTAAAAGACAAATTAAATAAGTTCTTGAAGCGTTCATTGAAACAAATTTTATGCAAACTTTATAACAACACGTTTAAATTACATTTTCTAAAAAAAAAAGCAGAGAACTGTGTGTATTGTAGAAAATTTAATGAGTTTGAAATTTGTATTCAAATACGCTATTGGAGATCAATAAGTGCCAATAAAATACATTGATTTTGACCTTAGTACATTTTGTAATTAGTGCGTTCGTTAATTAAAAAAACGAAATCCAATACGGAGTCTTTTTATACCGATATTCAAAACGACTCGCGTCATTTGTATTTCAACATTAACGTGACAGATAGTTTTGTTTCAGTATGTATTGGATAAATATGCAATAAACCCACAATAGACTAGTTTCCCCCATCAGCCTGGAAATGACATGGCTAGTTACATTTCATCTTTGACTCTTTACTATTACAAAATTCGGAATATAACAAACAACAATAAATGGTATTATTTTCGTTTTTATATGCCTACTACATGTACTTCACAGGGGTTTTTATATGAATACTACTTCACAGGGATTTTTATATGAATACTACTTCACAGGGATTTTTATATGAATACTACTTCACAGGGATTTTTATATGAATACTACTTCACAGGGATTTTTATATGCATACTACTTCACAGGGATTTTCTCACTGTGTTGAAGACCCATTAGTGGCCTTTGGCTGGTGTCTGCTCCTTTGTCGGGTTGTTGTCTCTTTGACACATTCCCCATTTCCATTCTCAATTTTACTGTGTGTTTTTTTTTTTGGGGGGGGGGGGAGGGGCGGGGGAGGGTTGTTTGTGTGTTCTTTTTTTTTTTTTTCTTTCGTTTTTTACAATAACTTGCATCCTTTTGTTCAAGAGTTCGGCCGAAACCATTATCGTCGCTCTTTTTGTGTTTATACATGGTATACACATACAGGTTCGAGTAATAAGTATATGAACTAATGGATATTTTCTGCGGTTAAGTCAGACTCTTGGAATTCATTTGACATTATTTTTCCATTTATATTTATCACTCGTGATTGTAATGGTGACAAAAATAATGTATAGATACATAACTTATATGATGATGTATGCATATATATATATATATATATATATATATATATATATATAGCCTGTTATATCCCTCCAGCTTTGTGGGATTCGTTTTGCACAAAAATTTAATTTCTGCTCGTTATATAAGTCAGCTTATGTTAATCAGTATGCGCGACATTTTGCTTGAGATTTATTTCGATCGTGTTTTTTTTTTTAGCAAATATATTGATACCTGTAATAAGTGCTTCTGTTATTATGGTAACCATACTACTGACTGTAGCAGTATATTGCAATCGAAAAGGTAAGTACATGTAACTCTTTGTGTGGGGAGGGGATTGGCGTGATTAAAAAAAATACACGTGCATATCCACAAATATTCCAATGCAATGCCAAAAATAGATAAACCTGCTCCACATTATCTTCCAATAATTCTGTTAGGTTAGCAGTGAACGGAAGAGCTTTTTCGTTCCTCTTTTTCTGTAACATTAATTTTAACAGTATTTATTAATGAAATAATAACTATTTTACATAGAAGTCAAATGTGGAATTCTGAAACCAGTTTAAAACTTTTAGAAATCTGCCTCCCGAAGAAACACACATAGGTTCTTACGCTAGCGCACGGAACCGGAAGATACTCCAGGCCGCTTACATCCGTAGAAAACAGAGTTTGTTTGTTTTGTGAGACTTGTAGGGTAGGGACTGAAAAAACATTTTCTGATGGAATGCCCGCTTTCTGACGATATTCGATATAAAATTGAGAATGGAAACGGAGAGTGCTTCAAAAAGACAACAACCCGACCAACGACATCTAAAGTACTCTTATTTCGGAGCTTTGTGTCTATTCTTCTTATAATAGTAGTTGTGTGTGCCTTGTGTTGATCTTTTGATTTAAACCAATAGCGAATGATTTTTACAGTGTGTTCTTATGTTGTGTTACATCACTGACCCAGGTTAGGAGGAGGTATGATCGCTTTCACACTAGTTTAACCTTGCCACATTTTGAATGTGCCTGTTCCAATTTAGCAGCCTTTAATACAGTGGTTGTCATTGGTTCATGTCTGTCAAACAAGTGTTTGGTATTTTTTTTTACGTAAATGGTTTTGTATAAAAAAGGCCGTTAGTTTTCTCACTTGATTTGTTTAACATTTTTCATGTCGGCTATACTGTATTGGTTTTTCTCATTGTTGAAGGCCGTACGAAGGCCTTAAATTGCATACTTTCACTTAATTTTTAATCTGTTGGATAGTTGTCTCATTGAAAATCATACCACATCTCATCATTTTGATATTAAAGGACACACACATTGTTCTCTAAGTATAGAGAAACAGATTACTTCCCTTAAAATTGTTTTGATATACTAGTAAACAATTTAATAATAAGTGCATTGTTTTGCTTTAAAGGCTTGAATAAAATTATTAAGTATTCTCACGCTTTAAATTTGGGATTCCAATACAAAACACCATAAAGCATTTAACTAATAAGGCGAACAAAGAATAGACTATCACAGTTTATGGCCAAACTCAGTAAAGAATCGTCTAACTCTCATTTAATTGGTAAATTCAACAACACTTACCGTTATCTTGATGATATTTTTTCATTAAATAATCAAGAATTCTCTAAATATACTAAGGAAATTCATCCTAATAAATCAAATATTAACAGCAATAACTGTCCTTTCCTAGATTTAGATATTTCAGTGTTACACCAGAAGCTCTACACAAATATTTACGACAAAAGGAATGATTTTTCTTTCCCTATTGTTAATTTTCCTTTTTTGGACGGCGATGTTTCATTGGCACCGTCTTACGGTGTATATATAATCCAACTCGTTCGCTATGTCCTTATCTGTAGTGACGTTTTGGATTTCAATGAGCGTAATCTATGTATACGTATTACTATTAGATTATTAAGTGAGGGACTTCGTTACCACAAATTACGTAAAACCATTCCTAAATTCTTCCAATGATACAAATATTTGGTTTGCAAGTTTGGCTGTAGCTGTAGAAAACTTATTTACAACGGTGATGTTGTTAACCGAGCCCGAAAATTAAGATACGATCCGGGTAAACTTATCAATCCTTTAAATAAATTTATTCTAAAAGGTTATCAATTCGAAACTGTAATTATATCTTTGGATATTGTTTTTATTGGTATAGATATTGAATTTTTTATTAGTAAATTAAATCCATACTAAATAGTATTGTTCTACACATATGTACTTTCATGGAACTACAATCTGTCGATACCTATATTTTGGCATTGCCCAAGGTCATGTTTTTCTCAGACTGTTATAGATGTCTTTACAATACATCCGTTGGATGCTGGATGTGTACTGATTGGTATTTTAGTTTTAGATACATGATTTTTTTCTTATTTGTAATTCGCTTTGAACTAGCTGTTAGTAATTCTGAGTACTCTTTTTTGTTGTTAGGGATGAGGAATGGATAAATACCCTGCCACGTCCCGTCTGTGTTTTTGTTTGATGTTTTTCTGCTTTGAATCGATCTGCTGAGTTAAGCCTTTTCAACTGATTGTTCTTATGTTGTGCTGTTACACCAATGACCCAGGTTAGGGGGAGGACTGAGCGCTCACAAACATGTTTAACCCCGCCACATTCTGTATGTGCATGTCCCAAGTCAGGAGCCTGAAGTTCAGTGGTTTTTCGTTGATTTATGACTGTCAAATTTGTTTTTCGTAAATTGTTTTGTTATAAATTAGGCTGTTAGTTTTCTCAATTGAATTGTTTCATGTTTTTCATGTCGAGGCCTTTTAAAGCCGACTATACGGTGTGGGTTTTTCTCATTATTGAAGGCCGTACGGTCGCCGATATTTGATTACATCCACTACATTTGAAATTTGGTGGATAGTTGTCTCATTGGCAATCATACCATATCTCCTTATTTTTACATAGGTAAATTGTTTTTGGTCACAGTTATCAAACCAATATCAATCGTACTAATAAAATTTATAATTAGGCCGAACAGCACATCAGATGTATGTTGATGACTCAAGATTAGTAATAAAAGGTGCACAATAAATCCCGTAACCACGTAATCTTGACCTTTCCGCGACTGGTCGTCACAAACTTTAGAAAATCATATCTAAATAGTTTGGTGTCCGGAAAAAGATTTATCTTAATCTTAAAAAAGGTAAAGAAATCACCAATTCACCAACATTCCAACTGACTCCATTTTCAGAAAACGACATATGTAACAAACATAAACTTTTAGTTACCGCTTTACAAGCAGAACCAAATACAATGAAAGTCCCAACTATGTATTGGCTTCCGAAGCTACACAAAACACCTTACAAATATAGATTCATTTCGTCTTCAAGCCATTGTTCCACTACTAAATTGTCTATTCTTCTTACCAGTACACTTGGTACAATCAAAAACCTGATAATAAATTGTTCAAATAAGGCCTTCGAAAATAGTGGAATTAATTACTTTTGGAGTGTCAAGAACTCGTTGGAAGTACTTGATAAATTGCATGCATATATTGGTGATTTTGAATCTGTTCAAAGTTTTGATTTTTCTACCCTATATACCACATTGCCTCACATTCTCATTAAGAAAAAATTCACACACCTAATTAAATGGGCATTTAAAAAGTCAGAATGTGAATATATATGTTCAAACTCTTTTAGGTCATTTTTTAGTAGCAATAAACAAAAAAACTATGTCAATTGGACATGCTTTGATACTATATATGCCCTTGAATTTTTACTAGATAACATTTTTGTTCGCTTTGGAGATTCCGTATATCGTCAGGTTATCGGAATTCCAATTGGGACTAACTGTGCACCACTTATTGCGGACCTTTTTTTGTATTGCTATGAGTTACAATTTATGACAAAAATCAGCAAAGACCCATCGAAACAACATCTGATACACAAATTTAATAATACTTTTAGATATTTGGATGATATTTTGGCTCTCAATAATGACGACTTCAGTGTGTATACTAAAGAAATTTATCCTGTTGAACTTACTTTAAATAAAGCTAATACTAACAATGACCACTGCCCTTTCCTCGATCTTGATATCTATATAATTAACGGAAAGCTTAATACTAAAATATATGATAAAAGAATTGATTTTTCGTTTCCTATCGTTAATTATCCATTTTTAGATGGTGACGTTCCCTTGTCACCATCTTACGGTGTTTATATATCTCAGCTTGTACGATTCGCTCGTGTATGTAACAATGTTTTAGATTTTAACGAGAGAAATTTATGTATTACTGAAAAATTATTACACCAGGGTTTTCGATATCACAAACTAGTCAAAACATTTACTAAATTTTATCATCGGTATAAGGACATCATTCGTAAATATAGCTCAACATGCAGACTTCTTATACGTTCAGGTATTTCACATCCAATTTTTTATGGAAATATTCTTTATAAAGCACAAAAATGTCAGTATTCACCTCTGAAGCTAACAAAACCTTTAAATAGACTTATTAAGAAGGGATATAGTTACGATACTGTTGTCAGGTCATTAAAGATTGCATATTTTGGCGTTAATATTGATTCACTTATAGGGTCTTTGCATCGGCACTAAACACATTTATTTAAAAACCAGTTGTTGGCATGACACGGGTTATGTTCTTCTCATATATGTTATGATGGTATGATACTAAACCCCTAACGGGAAGGATTGTGCCTGATATTCATATGATGAAGACATAATCTTTCAATCAGTTTAATTGAAGTCTGGAGCTGGCATGTCAGTTAACTGCTAGTAGTCTGTTGTTATTTATGTATTATTGTCATTATGTTTATTTTCTTTGGTTACATCTTCTGACATCAGACTCGGACTTCTCTTGAACTGAATTTTAATGTGCGTATTGTTATGCGTTTACTTTTCTACATTGGCTAGAGGTATAGGGGGAGGGTTGAGATCTCATAAACATGTTTAACCCCGCCGCATTTTTGCGCCTGTCCCAAGTCAGGAGCCTCTAGCCTTTGTCAGTCTTGTATTATTTTTAATTTTAGTTTCTTGTGTACAATTTGGAGTTTAGTATGGCGTTCATTATCACTGAACTAGTATATATATTTGTTTAGGGGCCAGCAGAAGGACGCCTCCGGGTGCGGGAATTTCTCGCTGCATTGAAGACCTGTTGGTGACCTTCTGCTGTTGTCTGTTCTATGGTCGGGTTGTTGTCTCTTTGACACATTCCCCATTTCCATTTTCAATTTTATGATATAAAATAGTGAACAGGACAAGCCAAAAATATACTTGCAGTATACACACAGCATTTTATAAAGAACCTAGATAAAACGGCAAATTCTCTTACATTGTAATAGTTTTCAAAAGTAAGACATCAAGTATAATTGTAACAGGCAATCTGAAGAATAAGGAATATACATTTGTTGTAAAAACAAAACAAAAAAGACATCAATCGCCACATTTTTGTTTTCTTGTGGAGTATTTTTACACCCAACATATATAAAACAAGGAAATGTATATAACGTTCATTGGCCGATAATAGATTTTCTTTCAAGATGTTAGTGTACCTTATTTTGCATGGCATACTCCGTAATATATGAAAACATTGAAAGATAATTAATACATGCTCCCGTTACAAAAACGAAACTTCTTACTAGAAACCTCTAGAGAAAGAAGATAACGTATAAATAAAGTTCAGGTTAATATCGGACATAAAATGCATGATCGATTCGCGATGTTCAAATGGTGTTATTCCCGTTTACCAGACAAAAACCCTAATGTAAATATTGTCCATATCCTGTTCTATTATACCCGAATTTTTACATTATATGCATGTCTGATACTTCAGTAAAGAAGATATGGTTATGCTTGTCTGGAAGTTTGTATCAACGACCATCTATATTGTGAAATGCACAGTTTTTAAAAATTGGGGACTCTTTTTAACTGTTGTATCAATGTGTATTCAAAAAAGGAAGAAGAAGAGAAAAGAAAAAGAACATTGTATCAGATGAAGACATTCCATTATTAGGTATAGTAATTTATGTTCAGCTTTACATCAATTATCCTTATTGAACGAACAACATTTACTAACAAAACACCATTTATTTAAAAAAAAAGCATTTTTCAAACATATGCTCCAACCAAATCCCTGAAATACTATACAAGAAAAATTATGTTAATATGCGTCAAAAACAATAAACGAACTTGCATCTACAGAAAATTCGTTTTTTGTTTTATTGACTGCAAACTTAATCAAATGAGTCAGAAAAAGAGTAAAAGTTAACAACATAACATAACAGCATGAGTTTCTAGATGCGAAAATATTGCAGCAAAGACTCATGGACTACTTAGTTTTACTTTTTAACTAAAGGCAAGTCTCATATTTGTTGCTTTATGAGAAATTTTCAGTATTGCTGTTCAGTTATAAAAAAATAATTGGGCCTTCATGATATCAATACTTATATTTTGACATGATGTTGGGTCATTCTTTTCTTAGAACTGTTTATCACTAATTTCACTAATCCGTTGGAAGTGTACTGATTGATATTTAGTATGTGAAAACATATTATTTATTTATGAGTTGTCTAAATGGACTTTGATCTAGCTTCAAGTACTTAAAGATTCGTAATTTGTGTCTTTTTTCTTTTTGATATTTGTTTTGTTGTGCTTTGTGTCAATCTGATAACCCTTTCCAACTGATTTTTACAGTGTTTTGCTGTTACACCACTGTCCAAGGTTCATGGAGGGTTAAGCTTCCAGAAACATGTTTAAATCCACAATGTATCTGTACAAAGTCAGAATCCCTGTAATCCAGTTGTTGTCGTGAACTTTCTGTCTGCAATATTAGATTTTGGTTTATTGATTTAGCATAAATCCTGTCGCTAATTTTCTCATCACATTTTGTCATTCTTGGGCGCTTTATAGCGTAGTATAAGATTTTTCTCATTGGTTGTGGCTGAACTGACTTCCTAGTTGAATCCTCAGACCAATTTTTTTTTCAATATATGCCATTGTCTGTAGGATGGTACAAGTTGTCTCTATAGATGGTTCTAGTTGTCTCTATAGACTGTACCACTTACCTTTTTTATAAACCTTGTGAGTTGTACTGAACCAGGGCATCACTGGTTTTCATTTCAAGATGTGGATGAGTACCAGTAGGGTGTGTAAAGTGAAATGATACAATTTTTACTCCCAAAAAACCTAAACATTTCACAGAATTGATGATTTTTTGCGTTTTTTTCATTTGAATGACTAAACGCCCCTATATTATTGAAATATTGAAAATGAAATTACCAAAATTTATAATTTTTTATCCTTCCAATATTTCTTTATTATTACAGTTTGTAAAACAAATATATAGATATTAGCCATTTAATAGACAAACAACAAAGAAGAAATGAGTGATGTAGATTCATTTCTATCATTCCAAGCCATTCCAAATCTTTACATCAACTTTTAATCCGTATGAAATTCTCTATCGTATGGTTAAATATATTTTACTACTGTGATAAGAATACTTTTTTTTTCAGATAATAGTTTATTTGCAACAATCCAGAAAAAAACGCTTGTTCTTATACATATTACTACTTCAATATAGAATTTAGAAATGCAAATTTCTTTAACTTTCCCATGACTCCATTTCTATCATTTATTCCTCGTTAATGGTGCTAAAACAAAATAAAATGTATAAACCCAAATAAATCCCTAAAAGGATACCAAGACAAGCTCATAAATACCTGTGTTTCAAGAGAATAAAAAAAGAACTCAACAAATATTGATTTTTTTGCGATCAGCAAATTTGTCAAGTATAAACGTTTTTTTAATCAAATAGTTGTGTAAAAGCACTTTTATTAATCTATTGGGTTTTATGTTGTGGTACTTTCGAGGACTTTCAGTGCCTTCGACAAATTGTAAATCATCTAAAACAAAGACCGCATTCAGTGTGATGCATGCAACACAGAAACAGATCGTAACACTTTCATTAAGTAATTTAGGGCTTCAGGTTAACAAAATTGAGTATGAACTTCTCTTTTCCCATAAGGCATTTATTATGAACTGATGAAATGTCAAATTTTTCTTCTGATTGTAATGTACCTAAGCTAACTCAATGTGTTTTATTAAGAAAATGAAAAGTACCTGGTATGTTCATCTCTAGGGAAAATTATAAAATGAATGTGAAATATTTCCATTTCAAAAAATAACAAGAAAAAACAAAAAACATAATTTTTACTTTTTCTTGACTCGTTAAGGAAAATGATATGATGAAACTTGATTGTGGCATTTGATTATGGTCAACGTCTTGCGAAGGGTAAAAAAACACATCCTTGGCCACAAATGACTTTTTATACATTGTACTGTTTCAATACTAGTTTACATCTCTACTGTCAAATGGGACGAAGAACTGTGTTAAGGAATATGATAGTTGTTTTCCATTTGTTTGATGTGTTTGAGCTTTTGATTCTGCCATTTGATAAAGGACTTTCCGTTTTGAATTTTCCTTAGAGTTTGGTATTTTTGTTATTTAACTTTTTAAATATATAAACGGGACATAATCGTCTGCAAAATGAATTATTTGAAAATGGTAGTTGCTAAAAGTTCATAATGATAACAAACGACTTCTTGTTTTTAAAATTTACCATATGAATATAACCGGGTTTTGTGATGTAATCTCAGGTTTTTGATTCCCAGTTGTTCAACAGCTGGATTGGTGTGTCCATGCAAACCGATTCGATACCATCCAATAATTCGAGGACCTTTCAAATCATACTTTTGAATTTTACTATTTTGTATCGTCGGACATATTTAAGGTCACACATGAAATTGAAAATGTTCACTAATTCTGTTCAGACGCTTTAATAAATGTAATAGGTTTTCAGTATCGTCGATAAAAACTGTAATATTTTAAGATAGATTTGTTATTATGAATTGAAAACAAATGTCGTCTACACAAACGAATATCCGATCAAAGAAAAGACATTGATAAAAGTGCTAATGACATTGCTTATCATAACTCATATGATTGCAATATTGTACAGATTTTAGTTCTATATATGTCTTATGATTTTCTTAATGATTATAGTACTTGAAATTGTTTCAATTATTTTCAGTTATTGTAAAATCCTTTGCTATATTTCTGCTATGAACTACGTATAATGTTTAACCGTAATTCTTTTACAGACACGAATGACAAGACAGTTCAAGTACACCCTAAAGAATTAGACTCTTCTGGTAACAGATTACAATGTATTTATTTATGTAAAAAAAAATATTCTAGAACTGGTATTTATCAAAAGTTCTGTGACATAGCTTTCATATGAGACTATTTCTTGCATCAATTACTTGATCTATAGCAAGCAATAATCTTGGTACTTTCTATAGGTATCATGTCATCAACTAACATATCAGACACCCTTACACTATAGATTGTACATTATTACTTAAAATCATGTTTTAGTAATGAAACCATCAAATGTATTTCTAAACTAATAGTTGTCAATTCTAAAATGCGTCGATATAATTTTAAATTTTAAATTTGGGAATCTAGATTCTTGTATCGTGATCTCAATTTTACGGTTAGGACTAAATGTCAATCAATGTTTGGATTTTGTCAATTGCAAGATGTTTGTACTGCTTCAAAACCTTCAAAATATAAAAAGAAATACAGATTGTTTTTGATAATAAAAAAAAAGCAAATGAATAAATGTAAACCTTGTTATGTTTCAAATTTAAGGAATATTAATGAGAAAAATATAGAGTATTAAATAAGGAGATGCGGTGTTATTGCTAAAGAGACAAATATCAAACATATAACAAAGAAAAAAGAATGTAAGCTCCTCTGAAGCCAAATTGTCGAAGGTCGTCATCGTAAGTTTTAGTAGGTTGGTACAAAGTATGATACATCTAATAAATACGTGTATATCTAATAACAAATCAAAAACAATAGATGTGTATGAGTTATTTAAAAAAAAATTGAAAATGCAAGCACAAAGTATGTGCAATTGAGTTGATGTTTCAAGAACACATAGACCCTAATATTCATCTTCTTTTCTTCATTAAAATGAAAATAAATAACAAACCACAACATTTATACAAAAGTATAATTCATAAACTTGACAAACAAGAAATGTAAATACTTTTTTAGAAGACATTTATTCGTTATTGGCATTGATTGTATTGATTTATATTGTGTACATAAACTTAATCACTCATATACTGAAATAAAATGATTTAGAAAAGAAATAATCAAGCATAAAATACAAAACTGACCCTGAAAATGAATATTTAAAGTCAATTCCATAGAACAGAACGTTAATAAAAACTCCTGTACGTGTCTAACCACTTGATTCTCCTGTTCACAGGTTTATTGGATAAATAGGTCACAAGTCAGGAGCCTCTGGCCTTTGTTAGTCTTGGATGTTTTTTTTAATTTTAGTTCATTTATATGTTTCGGAGTTTAGTGTGACGTCCATTTACACTGAACTAGTACACATTTTTGTTTAAGGGGCCAGCTGAAGCCCGCCTCCGGGTGCTGGATATTCTCGCTGTGTTGAAGACCCATTGGTGGCCTTGGGCTGTTTTCTGCTCTTTGGTCGGGTTGATGTCTCTTTGACACGTTCTCCATTTCATTCTCACTTTAATTGAATTTGAAATTACCAAAACATGTTTATATATTTTCTACTATTATGCTGCAATAATTTAAGGATTTGTATAACTTTTTTTATTACTTTACGGAACTTTTATTCCCAAAAAGTGCAAGTATTCATTAGAGAAGTTTGTCAAATCAAAATGAAATGTAGTACAGCAGTTGTGCAATAAAATAATGTTTAATTAGTTTAAAAAGGACAACTCGTACATCATTCATTGCTAGTTTCATATAAAACATGCTATTGCGTAAGCAGTAGATTGTACAAAAACATAATATAATATTTTATCAAGAAGATTTTGTATAATCTTAATGGTTTCGAAGTTAATTTGTTTTGTGCCTTTTCGTTTCATTGCAATCAAGTAAGAAGTCGTTGACTTGAATGTTGAAAAACTTCAATTGTTTCCTGGAAAAGTTGCTTTTAGTCACTATTGATATTAAACCTCCTGCAAAATTATTATAAATTTCTAAATTCCCGAAACGAAATGAATTATTTCATATTCTTTTGACATAGGTGGTTTTCTGAAAGTCTTTCAATGTATCTATTCATTCAAGAAGTACTTAGAGAAGGAACATGTACTAATACAAATGAATAGTCTTTAATGGAGTCGTTTTATCATACCACGAAGTCAAACCTTAACCTGCGTGGTGTTACTTTGATGAATTCATGATATGCTGTTTAAATTAATTTAGTTCAAAATTTCCTTCTAATAAATTTGAAAGTTCTTAGCAAGTTTTATGTCTGTTCCCACCGGAAATTAAAAACTGTCACAAGCGGGTGTTAAATCTTATATTCAAACCTTTTGGGTCATTACATTTGCTCATTTTTTTTTCTGTAACACAAACAGTGAATTGAAAAACAAAACCACGCAGAAATGATTTTTAGAAGGTTCTACTCAGCTTAAGTGCTAACATATTTTATTGTTCATAATGTATAAGACTCAAGTTTTACAATTTAATAATATCTTACGGATGTGTTGTTACTTTGGTCTAGATGAAAAAACAAATATTGCTTCAAGGGACAAAATATTGGTCCATTGATCAAAATCATAATATCATCTTAAGAACCAATAGAGACAAAACTTGACAGGTATGTTCCTGCGAAGGCCTGTAGCATGTTTTGTTTCTTTACAAAATCATTGATCGTGTGATCGTCCAACTACAGTAATCACTAGCACTGAAGTTGTGAGTTCGAATTCCGCTCCGACAAGGTTTTCAGTTTTCCTGCCGAAGGTTGTTGGTTCTCTCCTTAAACTCAGGCTTCCTCCACCAATGCTGCCTAGTCGCCATTGTTTACCCATGTGTGCTGAAAGGGGAGTTAAACACAAACCAAATAAAAAATAGTCAATCAAAAAGACAAAAAGGTTGCCAGCAAAGCTCAATATTTACATTAGAATGTACTGAAAAACAGCGGATGCATATACTCATCAGGACTAAATGACGTGACAAATCATGTTAAGCTAACACAGTGTATTTTAATACAAGTGTGCTGATGAAAGTTTATTCACTTACAGGAACTCATGACCAGTATGTGCAGGTCAACTTTGATGCAGATAACTTTTTGTTTAACAGCACTTTGCCAGAGTCAAATACTACGAGAGGTATTGTATAATAAAAAAATTTCGAAATGTTTTTTGCAAATTGCTTTTCATTATCATATTAACGTTTGGCGTTCCTGGTGATGGTAAATCCAGAGTCGGACGCATAACAATTATAAAGTGTTATTTTCATTTTCTAATATTAATGAAACGAGTTTTATACTTTTCTTACAATTATTTTGCAGCGAATTACAATTATGAAAATAACGTTTATAGCTGAAAACAAGGCACGTATGTTTATCGTTGGAATGCCGTTACTTTATTGCCGTTTCTCGGTTGGAATTATTTCCTTATACTGCACATTGTACAAAAAAGAGATATCCGAATGTTATATGTAAACTGCGATAATTTGTCATCCCTTTCTACTTTTACAAATATATTATGATTTTTAATTGTCATGATCTTGTTTTTGATGAAATAAAAACGGAGACTTTAGATATAAATTGTATTGAACACACAAAGATCGTACCTTGTCAACTACAAACAATGAAAAGTTTGTGTTTTTGCAAAATAGCTATAATTTTCGACGTCTACATAAACATCCAACACAATGACAATCCTCTTCTTTTAAAGTATACAAACTTAAGAAGCTTAATGTAGAATGCCAAGGGAGTGATTACGTATGCCTTGATTGGACAAAATAATGTCACTGATTTTTTTCATATTTTCCATTTTGCAATTGCTTTTGATCCTTAAAATAATAATGGTTGCTTTTGATCCTTAACATAATAATGGTCACCCCTTCACCCTATAATTACGTTTATCTGATTTGTCAATATGATAAAGCGGTTCTTGTTATATCAAGTACGCACAGTTTTACTTAGTTACTCTATATTTATTACGTATGGTCATAACGATCAATATGTGTTATTCAATCCTTACGATGATTGTGCATACCATGTTTTCGATTGCAGTTTATTCAATTTTTCCCATGTATGAGGATTGAGCATGAACGTTGGTTTCAGCTTCTCAGCGGATTAAGTTTAGTTTTGGTTAGGGCAAAAATCAAAATAAGACTAATGATTTCATTCGCAAAGCAAACTAACAAAACAAAATATATTTTTTTTCTTGCTTTACAATTTGTTTGCCATCATTTGCAAAAATAATTGGAATATAAATATCATGATAGGCTCACACGGAATGATGTTTTCAGTTTACAATTGTCTATACTTTTATATGCATATGCATTGATGAACAAGTATTCACTTACAGAAACTGATAACCGGTGTGTGCATGTCTTCTGTGAAGCAGATAGCCTTTTGCCAAACAGCTTATTTCAACTATCAAATATAAAGACAGGTACTATATATATTTATCATGTATGTTCCAATCGTCGTAACTACAACATGTACAATCCCGTCCCCTTTTCCCAGAATGTGACCTACCGAATTAGACTAATTACCGGGTTTCAACTAACATGAGCAACACGACGGGTGCCACATTTGGAGCAGGATCCTATCACCCCCAGTTTTTGGTGGGGTTCGTGTTGCCCAGTCTTTAGTTTTCTATGTTGTGCTTTGTGTACTGTTGTTTGTCTGTGTGTCTTTCACTTTTTTTTTGCCATGACGTTGTCAGTTTATTTTCTACTTCTGAGTTTGAATGTTCTTTTGGTATCTTTCGCCTCTCTTTTAAAACCCAGTATTTTTTATTACAAGCTTTGCAGGATATTTTTTGTTTTCATAATAACTTTTCATATGATTGGTGCATTTTTGATATTTTCTTTACAACCAGTTGGCAGCTGATTACATTTATTTAAAGGAGGTCAGATTGGTGAAGGTAAAATTAATATCTCAATCATTGGATTGCTGTAACTATACTGTCGCGTTTCAGTTGAAACTATTTTCTCAAAGCTTTAGTAAATGGGTTCAATTGATATATGCCTCAGAGCTGGAGATTAAGAAAACCAAAGACACAATTTCATCCGCCCCATGTTTTGACATATACCTCGAATTTGACTCCAACGGTCACCTCATTACCATATTCTATAACATTGTCCTCCCTTAGCAGCAATATTCTAACTTCACTCGCGTATGGAATACACCTGCCTCAACTCAAATGGATATTCAAAAGCTTGTAGCTGCAACTCAGACTTTGTAAAAAGTTATCTATGTCTGAGCAAAAGGTAAGACTTATATGCAGTCCTTGACGATTGTTATTGTTTGTTTATTTGTATTGTTAAATTTAGTTATTTGTTATATCTATGATGTATGTTTACACAAATTAAGGCGCTGGATCCCAATTGTTGTCACGTTAGCAAATCATTTATGATTGGGTTGCTCAACCTATTCATGTCAGAATATTTCTGCCATTCGGAACTAATACCATAAGGGAACTTCTATTTATAACAACTAACAATAGTCAACTGTGATCATTCTCGTCCTTTGCTTCCTATGCGTTTTATGATTTGTCCTTTTTCATGATCCAATGTTTAAATGAAATAAGGACATAGGCTAATTTATAAAATTGGGAAGTTTTAAATATCCATCTTACTGAAGAAAACAAAGATAAATACAACATTGAGGGTCCTTTGGCAGTTATTGAAAAAATAAATGGTTTTATATTTTGCAAATTAAATATATTTTTTGTAAACATTTTCAACCAACATTATGACAAACCTTTTAAGTGTACACATTCAAACAAATTCAATGAATATTGAACTAGGGGATAGATAGGTGTGCAATTGTTGGACACAATATTTCTAATGACCTTTGACATAATCAGCTTTGCCTTTGCTTTTGATTCTTGATAATGAAATCATCCAATCCACATCGAAAATTAGGATCAGCTAGTTTTTTTTCAATATGGTAAAGTGGTTTTTCCCATATCACGTAAACGCAATATTGTATGACATCTGACAATGGAAATCACAGTGTGTCCTTTATCCATTACGATGATTGTGTATACTGTGTTTTCTACCGCAATGTAGTTAAAGAGAATAGTTTAGAAAGATTGAACATTGGATTTTGAATTCTGATTAATTTTCTATAACTTTAACTGAGGCATTTGATTTTGCATCTGAAGGGAAAAAACAGATTAATGATTATGTTTACAAAACAAACTAACAACAATCAGTTTCAATTAGCTGACTTTGATAGGACAATTCAAACCGTTATCTTACAAAGCAATTTATAACTTTTTAAAAACATCTTATAACAAAGAATGTATTTACAGAAAATCACGAAGAGACAGACGATGAAGATTACGTACAAGCGCCAGATGATTTAACATCGGAATCTATACATGACCGCATTGAGACAGAATCAAAACAGAACAATGGTACTATTTTATCATAATTCAACTAAAAATTACTGTTACAACACTGTCTCATGAATAGGGAGGCCATACACAAGTTTAATCCCCGCCTATTCTTTATTAGTCAAAAGTCAGTATGATTCCGATGTTAAATCGTAAAAACATTTACCGAAAACCAAAATATGAAAAGTGTGTGATTCTGTAGTAGTAGTTGGTTGCTGTGTGTCATATTTTTGTTTTCGGTAAATGTTTTGTCATCAATCAGACCTTTGTTGTGTCTAGTTTGAATTGTCTCACGTATTGTAACGGTGACATTTCATAGCTGACTTCACGGTATTGTCTTATCTTGCTCATTGTGATCTTTAGTTGCCTAACATACGTCATGAGAATCTATCATGTAGACACGTATTTCTAGACACTTTTTCCACTGAAATCCTGAAACATAGTGGTTTTTTGGTATAAAAAAGCCTTCAGCAAAAATGATTTTGTATGTATTACATGTTATATCATGATATATCAATATAGGCTATAAAAGAGATCAAACAAAATAAATGAACTAGCACATCAAACCGTGGTTAATTTACAAAGCAAGCAAATATTATCATATGTATTGAAATAATTTTTTGCTGAAAAAAAAAGCAGAGGTGCATATCTTTTTTGCCAAGGAGATTATATGAGCCATAATATAAGTTTCAATGTTTGCCTTTCATTTTGGAAATAGATTTTTGAAAACGGGAAATATTCAACAGTTTCATCATTATAACAGAGTGTACTATGATTTTACGATTTATCAGTATATCTTCAACTATCTTTACTTTCAAATAAACAATCTGATGATAACTGATTAAAGTACAGTTTTTTCAAAACCAAATACAGACTTGGATATTTTATAATTTAGACATTTAAACATGTTAAATGAATTTATTATACTTCTATTCCAGCTATCAATGAAACTATGCGTTGAAGTTTTCTTGACAATCCTTTTACTATTGTATAACAGTCTGCTAATTTGTCAAAAGTGAACCAAATCAACAGTCATGTACTATATTTTCTATCCAAGTAATTAGAATGATTAAAACTTATTCAGCTCAGCTGATATGTTAAAGAAAAAAAATGTTTTTTACCGCATGTAATTATTTGGCAGAGTTCAATCATTCTTAGACTTGCTTTTACAAGGATTTTCAACGAGATTATGCCCAACTCTTAATGAAACGTTGTTATTGTATATAAAAAAGTTTTATCTAACTATCGAGACAAAAGCGAAATACTAAAAAACCAAGGACAAACAAACGTGTACACTTCATAAAAACTAAGGATTAAGCAACAGGAGCTCCAATTAAAAAACAAGGGTGTTGTCAGGTGCTCCAATAGGAATAGTATATCCGATTCCACATATGTCTTCCGTTATATTGCTAATAGCAAGTAAACATTCCAAAATATGGAACATACAAGATTTTTCTTTTCAACCCAGAGAATACTAATAGCAATGTAGTTAAAAAAATCAATGATACAGGCATTTTTATAACTCAACTGTGAACAAAAAGTTTTATTATTCGAAAAAAACGTTTTTCTACCCAAAGGCATAGACAACTTTTGGAAGTTTTTTTGTTTCAAAAGTTTTTGATTCAAGCGAAAATGGTGAGTCCTATGTGGACGAATCGAGCGTATGGTGTACCTAAGATAAACCTGGTATCTTTGATGAGTTTTTTAAAAATACCGCCTAGGGCGATGGCACTGCAGCTTTTCTATGTTAAAATAAAACAACATTGATACGATCATATAAATTATTTGTTTAGAAAATGATGAATTATTCCAAACACTAAAGATTTTTTACCGCTGGCATAGTTGACAATAGCCGTATTTGAAACAACTGTAAGATTTTATTTCAATGGTGTTTAATTTGGTACTTGATTTGTCCTTCCAACTACTTTTATTCGAGCACCACTGATGAGTCATAAGTAGAGAAATTGCGACCTGACAGTCAGATACTAGTACGATACGGCTATGAAAATCAATGTTTAACAATCTAACAAATACAAGCATATTCTTTTAAAATATTATTCAAAAGAAGATTACCGTGAAACATTTTGTTGTTCTATATGTGATTTTACAGAATTTTAGGCCCTCAATGCTCTTTAATTTTGTACTTAATTTTGCCTCTTAACCGTTTAGATTCGAGCGTCACTAGTAATATGTTAATGATCGAACTCATCATTTAAAAAGGTAATAACATAATTGGATTTTTTTTTATTTCATTTATCCATCCACGTGCTTTATAAACTACTCTTTAAACTGGTTTATTCTGCTGTTATTTATGTCCAATTTTGGTTTATTCGAAACTGGGGATTAAAACTCATCAACGGTCGTCGTTATTACATATGTGTCACTTTGTGATATAATCTTTAATTTTACCGAGTATGTTCTTATCCCTATTGTGACATTCAAATTTTGACTTAGTGATGATTGGTATTGCGAGTGATTTAAGACGCTTACCCTGTCGACGCACCCAATCTCGCTACTAAGTTTGTGTTTCTTGCTTTGATTTGAACATCGGTAAACTACCGTGACCTTAATTTGCTGTCTTTTGAATATTAATGTTTTATTGATGACCTTTTTTCAACTTTTTCATTTTATGCAGATCTACAATAGACATATTGTAAATAAAAGTGTTTACTTTCTAAACAACAGTATTTCTGTTCCGTGCATTCTTGTAGAAATTATTTGTCAAACACTCGATTGATCCTTCATATTTTCTTGAGGGTATAAAGTAGAACAAGAGTTACAAAAATAGAAATGATCAAAGTCTTTATGATAGTAAAACTACTCATTATTTGTGAAAATCATTAGATGTCAAACGCTTTGTCATGATATTGTTTCTCTATCGAGTTTTATTTTTATTTTAGATACTATAAACAAGAGTATATCACCTCAACCAACGACAGGTTCTCAGAGCCGCATGAAGAGACTAGACTAGCGGCATTCTTCAAAAACTCGTATCAACTCTGATCACCAAAGCATGATGTATGTTATACATGACAACTGCGTATATTTTTTAGAAGTCTTAACGTGAATATTGTTGTTATTTTTAGTAGAAAGTTAGAATATAAAACATTCAAACACGAGCTCGTCTTGCAATTTTCTTCAAGAAAGATCTTAACTTCTAGGAAAAATATGCTGTATTTTAAATAAAATTTGTGGTTCGGATTTTTATGATTTATTTGTGTCACACTTGTGCCGCTTTATATGCTGTATTACGCAAATGTGCTACTTCGATCTGTAGAATATCTAATGAAGCTGTCCCAATAGTAGTTTATGAGATGCATTCCGTTGTTGAAAGTTCAAACTCTTTTAAATAGAACATTATTATTTAACCACCTAATGATATTTTTTACAAGTGAACAAAATCAAAATAATTAAATACCTTCTTACTTGAAATAATTTCTTATTTTGTATACTGCAGATCTATATTAAACATCTAGGTAAACTTTTTGTTTCATTTTCCCCATGAAATAGGGCTATGCAGTTACTTGATATTTTAGATTATTTCTTTCCGCTTATAATGCCGAATAGAACTGACTCAAAAATAATTTCTTCTGCATAAAAACCAGAGCTGGCCCAAATATGCATAAATGTTGAATCAATACAGTCAAGTGTTAAAATTCCAGATCTAATGTTGAATTCCCTTGCAGTATTTTATTATATATCACAAATCTGATAAAATAGCCTTACTAGATCATAATGATAATTCAAAGAAAGCTAAAAGAAATAACAATTGTTCAGAAAACAACTGTTCATAAAGTCTAGCGGTCAGTATATCAAGTTGAATTTGGCTGATTTATGAAGAAATGTACACATATATTTAAAACATATCGTCAATGATCTCAATAAATTGAATTGTTTTTATAGGCATATTTGGTCAATATTTGTTAGTAACACACTTTGGTTTTGATCAATATATGTTACTTATAGACCATGTATTTGTTCAATAGAATATGATTTTGAGTTATATAAATTTTATATAGATCAAGTACTTGTGCAAAAGAATATGATCTTTAGATACATACATGACCTTTGTTTACGTAAACCATGTATTTGTTCAATAGAATATGATTTTTAGATATATACATTTTATGTAGACAATATAAATTATTTGTTAAATGGAATATGATTTGAAGTTACATGTTAATAAATTTTAAGGTAGACCACGCATGAGGGTAATAAAATATAATTTTCAGATACATGCATTACTATTTTACTTTAACCATTTATTTGTTCAATATTATATGATTATTAGATTTATACATTTTATGTAGACCATGCAACTGATCAATAAAATATGATTTCAAGAGATGTACATTTTACGTTGACAATAAATTAGTTCAATATATTATGATTTTATATATATGCATTTCATGTAAACCATGTATTTGTTCAATATAATATGATTTTTAGATATATACATTTTATGTAGACCATAAATTTGTTCAGTAGAAGATGATTTGAAGTTACATGTAAATACGTTTTAGGTAGACCATGTATTTGTTCAATAGAATATGATTTTTAGATATAAAAATTTATCTAGGTCATGAGAGTACATACAAGGTCAATGGTGGTAATACTCCTAAATGGAAGCTGCATATGCACCTTTGACCTTGTACGTACTCTCATTTTTTTTTTTAATTTCATGTTATTTCACTCAAATATAGCAAACTTGAAATATTCTGAGTAGATTGAGTCTCAAAAACATATTTTAGGGGAAATTTCCTTGAAATAGGGCTATACCATGAATATAAGTAGACAGAGCAAGCCATACTCAGTCTTTTCGGGAGCGTTTTCTGACATTATTCTCCTTGTTTCCTATGTTGTGCTATACAAGAAAACTGTTTCCCAAGTAATTCTTTAAGAAATATACAGTAATAAGTAAATGAAATGTTTTTGTGAAGCAGTAACAATAAATTATTTACTGAAAGGGAACCGTTTTATGTCCCTCTCTGGAAAACGGCGTAACTTTAAGTTTTACGTAAGGACTTATTGAAATCTCCATGGAGTCAGTTAACTTTTATATGGATAGTTCATTCAGCTTGAACACTTCAATTACTCATTTATTATCCCCAAAATTTTGATTTATTATTCTAAAAAGCAAAAAAAATTTAGGGAATAAGAGGTACAAATGGACCAAAGGGACCTTATAATAAAGACAAAGAGGTACATTAGTGGTTTTCATCATCTCATCATCTTAAAGTCATCTTTTGTATCATATTCAACTGTTTTTATGCAGATGAGATGAATATTGGATCATTTATTGGCGATATTATTGGCCCACACTATATTCTATCATGATGCGGGATGATTTATTTTTTGAAGAAATTTTGCTCAAATCGCTGTAGATGTCGTCTTACGTTATATTAAATTTCTCTCAATCTATTGCACTAATTATGACAAAACTTGAAAGTAATGCTTGAAATAACCAGTATTTTACAGAGAATTAATCACATTTATTTTATTCCACAAAAATGTCTTCCATATACATTTTTTGTAGCCATGTATTTGTCAATGGATGTTGCTTTAAGACCATGTATTTAGTTAATAGATGTTCTAATAGACAATGTATTTATTCATAGATGTTACTTATAGAACATGTATTTGGTCAATAGAATTTGATGCTTAGCAATATAAACCGTAAATTTGGTCGATATAATTTGGTGTTTAGATATGCGTTTAAAATAAACCGTCCGTGTATTTGGTCAATAGATGTCACTTATTAACCTTGTATTGGGTCATTAGATATAAGTATCAGATCATGAATTTGTTCAATTTATGTTACTTATAGAACGGGTATTTGTTCAATTTATGTTACTTATAGAACGTGTATTTGGTCAATAGATGTTGGTAATAGAGCTTGTGCATGTATTTGGTCAGTAAATGTTACTTATAGAACATGTATTTGGTCAGTATAATTTTTTTAATGTTTAGATATACCTTGTATACATAACATGTATTTGGTCATACATGTTACATATTGACGAAAGATCAAAATATAAGGGACATAATTTTTAAACATTTGTACAGCTGAGATATGCTGGTCTGAGTCACAGTTATGCTCCAATATATGCTTTCAAAAACACTTTAGATCTCATTTAAAATAAAAGTTTTGGTAGTACCTGCTTTCGCTGGTAAAATACTTTAAAGGATCCCTCAATAAACACTTTCTGGGGCATTTCCGATACAATTACCTGCTTGAGTCGGTAGTTAGAGATAGTAGAACCTCTTTTGTTTTCACAAATTCTCCAAAAAGTAGGCCTTTTATAAACATTTATTTTTATGCCCAAGTTAAATGGGTCATAGCAGTACGATATCATGCTAATTAAACTAAACTTATCTGCTCGGGCCGGGAAGTCTTTATTACAAAATGCATGCTTGATTTAATCTCCTTGCCATATATTTGCTCATATTTCTTGCTCATCTAGTTGGTTTTATTTATGTGAAAGCAGCTTCTTATTGAAATATAATTATTGAACAAATGTTGACAAGGACATTGTCATGTTTATTTTGCAGTACTGTACTTGCGTGGGCTGGTATTGTATCCCTATGTATAGCTATTCAAATATTATTCATCACATTCAGTTTTTCACTGTTAGTTATAAACATAGATAGAGCTTGAACTAATATAGCTAATACGGCAAACTGTACATTCTGTGGTAGCATAAATCGCTTTTAAACATCAGTTATGACGAACGATTTTCTTTTTTTGCCAAGTGCTCGGCCTTTGTGGAATAGGAATTATTTATTTTATTGCACTTACTGGTGGATTAGTTGACCCCTTTCTTGGCCAAGCTATTGTAGTCTGTATTATTTTATTATCGTTTAATATTTTGCATTCATTATTATCTTGTTGTTTATTTTTGTATGAGAAACATTTTTTCTCTGAAAAAGTAAACATTTCGCGATTCACCTTTTTGTTTCTCTTTTCATTCATGCATTGCCCCTATGGACCAATAGAAAGTAAAAGACATGAGCTAATCGCTGATTCATTCAAGTGAATGATAAATCTCTGGTTGTTTGTTTGGATTGAAGCAGGAAAGCATAAATAATGTTGTAAAATTTACATATTTTGATGCTTAAAAAATGTAGAAAGAAAACGTTTTTGTGTTTTGTTTTTTTTTTTTTTTTGGGGGGGGGGGGGGGTGTGTGTGTTTAATATTTATATCCTTTTATTAAAGGCAAATATCAGTGATCTCATTAACTTGAATTGCTTTTATAAATTGTTGTAATATTCTTTATATATCTTAATGTTTAAATAAACGTAAAAAGAAAAACGTTTCACTGTCTTTAGATATCAATTCAAATAGTTGCTGTTCATTCACATGTACACGAAAATTGTATCGTTTCTATTTCACACTAACAAACAAGATAGATGTGTACCGGATAGGGTGAACGCTGTCTATTCCTTCTAAAACAATTGCCGTCGTGCACTGCAAGAATGTTTTAACGTATTTTTTAATGAAAATGTTTGTTTTAACTCTATATAAGTTCAAGTACTATAAAGTTGTTGTGCAAAATACACATAACCAATTTTATTTGCTAATTGAAAATTCAGCTGAATAAAATAATTTAAGACAGCAGAGAAGATAATTATGTTTTAATTGTTTATTACTAAGACTTAAATAAAGAGTGAGCTATTTATACTGTAAATTTATGATGTCTCTAGTCTGGTCAAAGGGTCAGAATGTCCTACTTAATTAAACGATAAATTGTTGAAATTAGATAACATGTTTTCACGTGCAGAGAAATTTCACTCATGACCAGTGCATGATTGGATTACATCTTTCTTACTGGTCAATGATCTTGCAGGGTCAGCACGAGTTCACGTGTAAGTGCGTTGTGGTCACTTCCTTTTATCATCAGCATTTGATGTGTTAACTTGTGATTCTTATCAAACAATGTGTTAAAAATTCCCACCCACTTACCTCCCTTAATGTTATCTTTTGAAGTAGATATGTATATATGTTTATTTGTGGGGCAGATTTTTCTCCCCACCTTTGCTATTTGTTGTCATTTATTCAATTGATATGATATTAGTTGATGTAATTTCGTATTTATTATGTATTATTATTTCATATTAAATATGAACTTTTATGTCAAATGTTTTATTTGCAAAATGTATTTTTTGCATTTTATGATTTTGAATAAATGACCTTTTTTCGTCAGTTTAGTTTTTATATCATATAGCAAATCAAGCTCAGACTCTGACCTGTGTATACATAGTATGTTTATGGTATCTAGCTGTCTGTCTTAAACACAGATAATATATCAAACGGGACATTCCAAATCTCATAGTCTCTTTGTTACTTTTTGCAGTTGTTTTAATCTGGTAGTATGGTCAAGTTTTCAGCTTGTAATTTGACACAGTTAACTAACAGTCAGTCATGTTCTTTTTCAACTACCTTAATTTGGTCGATTCCAGTTTCACAACATGCACGTTGCCATCGAATGTCTCTTTA